TCAAAATATGGTGCCGCAATAATTATTTCCACCACTGTATTTAAACAAGTGACAAGAAAATAGTTGTTTTCGTATTCTCCAGCAAAAAATATCCAGTAACTTGCCAGTAACCAAATTTCGGAGAGTAAGCCAATATTTACTCCCAATGAGTGAAATATGCAAGAAAGTACGAAAACGCAAAACCAGCAAGAAGTTGCTAGTTTTATGAACAGCTGATTAATTTGTTATTTTCCGATCAAATTTTCTTAGAAAACTAGTATTTAATTAGGTTTATTTTGTCAATTGCAACTCTAAAAGCACCCCAAACAATTATTTTCTTAATGTGATTTACAATAAGCATCTTGCCATCAGCTGTTTTTCTTACTAGCAAATAGTTGCTAGTAAAAATTTATTCAGTAAAAATCAAGTAAAACTTGCAAGTTCAGCTGTCATTTTTGCTCTCTCAATTTCCCCTCTTTTGCTAGTTTCTTGCAAGTTTTTGCGTACGAAAACGACATCCAGTAAAAAACCAGTAAAATTAGTACTGGATTTACTGGATAGTGCGTACGCGAACAGGGCTAATATTTCGAAAATTCAACGCTTGAAGGAAAGCTTTCGACTCACATATATTAGTTGCGTTCGCGTAGCTGTTAATTGTTCATGTTTAACCAAAACTTACAAGTTTTTGCGTTCGCGTACGCAAAAAACTTGCAAAGTAGGGGAAATTGAGAGAGCAAAGTGACATTTCATTTTGAGGGGAAGCTGCTGGTTTCTGCTGGAAAAATTTTTGCCAACAGCAATTTGCCAACAGGAAAACAGCTGATCAAAAACAGCTGGTTGGCATTTACGCAAATCACAAAATTGAATTTGATGATTTGGAAGTTAAAAATTACAAAATGCGACTAATTAAACTTGTAAGAAATAAGTAGTTATTTGTTTAATCAATAAACTGTGTCAGTATAACACTTTGTGATGACTTTTCGTACGTTTTAAATTTTACACTTTTGAATGTAAACAAAAATTATATCAGCTGTTCGTCTAACTTGCAAGTTTCTGCAAATTTTCTGTTCGCGTACTATTTGGGATATTTTTCTCTTGTGAGAGAACAGATGACATTTCGCCGGAATTTGGCAGTTGGTTGGTTTTTACTGGAGATTTTAAACGAACGCACCTATTCATAAATGGTGGCCGGGTACACCGTAAAATAAATTTATGTTAATTGAAAAGCTGACGAACTGACAGGGAAAGGTAGGACCACCCAAAACCTTCCAAGAAAGGACACGGTGCATATACTTAGCAATAGCCACTTTATGTTTGTTAAGGAACACACCATTCTAGTAGACAAGCTACACTGGAATACCTTTCGCCTTGCGAAATTTTCAGGATTAACTGGTCTTTCCTGGACGCTCACGGTCCACTTGCTAATGAGGAATCATAACCAATATTGACCAATTTGACATGTAAGACGGAATCGAAAAAGTTACCAAATTGAAAAATAAATTACCAAATTACCAAACTTGATAAATAAAGAAAAAAATTACCAACTGTGGTTAAAAATTACCAAAGCGGCAACGCTGATTGTAACCCTTACTAATAAGAATTCTCCTTTCTGTGTTGCGAAAGAAATCGGGCCGAAACACCTTATGGCATCCACGGTATTTTTCCACATAACTTGTAGTAGTTCTTCGCAAAAATATTGTGGATAATTGCTCGTTGGGTTAACCAGCGGCCTCTTCTTCATTCGGTCATATAACAGTTCAACGTAAATAGCTATTAGCTGCAAATTCGTATCGGTTTGAGATTTTGTTACATTATTATTATTATTATATATTGGAAAAGTAGTGACGATTCACTGCTTTACACTGGGGTGGAGCACTAGTGTTTCCACCTTCGGCTCTCTGGTTATTGGGTTTGATTAAATAACTTAACTTTACATTATTTAGTGCGCATGTATAGACTATAATATCTTATGTTTTGAGCTTAGAGCTAGCTAATTCTAGATTAACTTCTTAAGCTCCGTTAAACTAAGGTATTCATTGATCTTCTTGATGGATTCTGTGTCAAAGCTTTTCAAGGTCTCGGAGGGGGTGCTACTGCCAAAGATGTGATGGGTTTTCCATTCATCGAGCTTGGTTTTGAAAATATGTTTTTCAGCCAGTTTATATAAGTCTTGTTTCAGCGTGACAGATATTGTTGTAAGTGGTTGGTTGACTGCTAGTTTGACTCTTTCGTCGGCAGCTTCGTTCCCTGGTATCCCCACGTGACTTGGATTCCACATAATTGTTATAAGATTGTTTCCTAGCGCCAAAGCGTTGCGGATAGACGACAAACTGTCGGTGCATATAATGTGTTTTTCACCAAGGCTAAGTGCATATTGTACTGCTTTCAGAACTGCTCTGGCTTCAGCAGTAAAAACGGAACAGAATGACACCAGGTGTCCAACTGAAAAGGTTTCGTGTTTGGCATTTACCACCGCAAATGCTGTGGTATTAGTGGATTTTGTACCATCTGTATAAAGAAATTTCCACCCTTGACGTTTAAGTATTTGTAGCAATCAGTTCGAAGGTTTGGCGGTAAACTACTGGAGAAGTAGTGCTTTTCTTATTAGAATGCATGTCGAGGATTAGCAGCTTTTGTGGTTGAAACCATGGCTCAGGGTGTTTGTGATCGAATTTTTCCATCTTAATAGGGACTCCTATATCTCTTGCGGCATTTATACTTCTGGCGATCGCTGATGGTCGAGAACGAGGTTTCTTTTTTCTGATTACTGCATTGCCCGTGTTTCGTAGTACTGGATTCCTACATTGTCGGAGCTTCGGAATCAACTTTAGCGTGATTAGAGTTGTTCTTTCTTTGATAGTGGGGAGACCGGCTTCTGTTAGGGTCTATACGGTTGGGAAGGCCCGTATGCATCTCCTGGCTGCTGTGAGGGAAGCAGGTAGTATAGCTTTCATGTTGCTTTTCGCACAGTGTCCGTATATCGGGAGTCCATAATCGATTTATGATAATATGAGAGCTTTGGTTGCATTGACAAGCGTTGTTGGATGAACGAGGCAATGCTTCTATGATCACATATTTAATTATGTCTAACCTTTTAGCAATAGCTGTTTTGAGATACAAACAATGAACTTTATAGGTGAGCTTAGAGTCAAATACAATACCTAAGATTTTCAAGATATTGCAGTGGGTAATGTTATCATAATTAAAATATAGATTCATAGGTGTACAAAGTTTTTTTTTGCATATGTGAAAATTGTTACATTTATTGAAAGAAATTTTGGATCCCGAATCTTTAGCCCAGTTTGTTATCTCCGATAGAATATTAATGAGATCACTTTGAACCACCGATAAATCTTTACATTTAGTAAAAAGCAGTAAATCGTCGGCATAGATAATATGATTGATTCTTTTATGTTTCAGTATAATTTTGTTTATTTCATCAAAGGCAATGATAAAGAGGACTACTGATAACGGTGACCCCTGTGGGATCCCATTAAATAATTTGTAAGTGTGCTTATTATTGACTTTGACTGTGAAGTGCCGATTGGTTAAAAAATCTCAAAGTTATAGATTTTTCCGACTTTCCAACACGCAAGTTGACGGAGGACGACGTTCCCACGACAGTCGGGTCTACGTAACCGGAACGACCCAGATTTATATATGGCCAAGGACTGTCACTCCAGCAACACTCCCCAAAAAGTCTTTGGGGAGTTTGTATGCTGTTACAACAACAACAACAATGGAGGACGACGTGCGGTCCAATTCTATCATAGGCTTTTTCGAAGTCAATGCTAAGAACAGATACGTGGTTTTTTGTATCGAGGGCTGAAGAGACAAAATTTTCAAAGATCAACAGAGCGTCCATTGTTCCCTCTCCCTCCTAAATGCTACTTGATGTGAATCGAGTAGATTATTAGAAACAGCGCAACAAGTTTTTCTAATACTTTGCTCAAACATGGCAACAGAGATATCGGTCTATAACCCGCGGTGGAAGTGGTACATTTATTAGATTTCGCAATTGGGATAACATCAGTTATCAGTCATCATTATTCCAAGTGTGGGGTAAGCTGCCTTGATTTAGTATAATGTTGTACAATGGCACCACTCTGGTTTTGGCTTGAAGGGGTAGGTGTTTTAAAATCGGGTATGAAATACACTTTTTCCCTTGTACACCAACTGAACTGAAATGCCGGTGCTGCTATACATACTAAAAAATGCAAAAAAAAACAGAACGGAAACAATGAAAATTGCACATACGCCGCAGGCGAAATTTTTTTTAAAAATTTTCATAATTTATCGCAGTATCGATTTTATAATAAAAAGCGCCGCAGTCGAAAAATTTTCATAAAAAATGGCGCGATTTTTTATTAAAAGTTTCATTATTTATCGAGGTATCGATTTTATAATAAAAAGCGCCGCAGGCGAAAATTTTGTAATAAAAAATCGCGCGATTTTTTATTAAAAATTTTCATTATTTATCGAAGTATCGATTTTATAATAAAAAGCCCTTGGATCAAAATCGAAAATGTTATGGTTTATAGTTGTATTTTATAGCTTCGAGAAGTATAGCAGCACACATTTGCTGTTACTGTCGGCCATTGTTATTTCTGTTTGTTTGTGAAAAGAGCAAAAACGAGTGAACGGATTTATAAACGCGTTTTAGTTAATTAATTGATGAATATATATATATTAAAAGTATCAAATACGCACGTGAACATTGAAGATATTGTATATCAACCAAAATACAATTGATAAGTTGCATTTTGTACAAAAAGTTGGGGGTGGTAGTGAAGATTATTTAACAACTAACTGCTTAAATACTATTAGCAACTACTTTGTGAGAGTGATACATTCATGTAGAGAAAGCCTCCCCCAACATCCTGACCAAGTTTCATGACTAAATTCCATATACTTTCGCTGAAATCTCGATTGGTTCCGTTTTGGAAAGCCAACCCCTTTGAGATTTGATTATTGAGTTGTGCCTCTTTTGAAGATGGTGTGCGGTATGCTTTTTTTCTTACCCTGAAGGCCGTTCGAGCAATCGGATGACCAATCATCCTCTAACCTTTCCTCCGGTTGATAAACTTCAACAAACTCATCATTGGAAAGATTTTGAGTTTTATATTCATCACCCAAATAAACATTTAAATGGTTTTCTATTGGGTGGCACATTTCAGTGTTTTCAGCACTTTGATGGTCAATAGATTTGCGGTACGAGTTTGAGTCCATTTTTGAAGATTTGAAAACAACAAAATATTCGACGGGACTTTCACTCCTTTCCCGGAATCTCCTTAGAAACTCAGTTCGTTTAAGTGAGACTTGCAAAAAGGCATCATAGAACTCGCTAAGCGACACTTCACAAAATGCACAGATGTAGTTATTTGCAGTCTCGTCAGCAATCATTTTCCAAAAATATTCAGGTGGTTCGATGCACTTAAATATCACATCCTTCAATAAAATTGGAGGTGATCCAACGCTAGTATTTTCTATAGTCGACTGTGTTGAGGTTCGCTCACCGCAGATACAGCACCTGCGAATCTTTGGTACTTCATTTATACAAACTTCTATGTTATCTAAACAGCTATTCATGTTGTGTAAATAAAACCTTTTCTATTTCAAAGTCGGGTTCAATCGATACAAGTAAATACTCGATACTTTTCTTCTGATACCAAGTATTTTTTTACCTTACACCTTTTTGTTCGGTATCGAGTAAGTATCGAGAAAAAAGTACTTGGTATCGAAAAAGTAATTTCTGCAAGGCGAATTTATACAAGGTGATGTTACTGGCGAATTTAGGTTTTAGCCGCGGTACTACTGAATGTCAAAATTATGTGTTTGTTGTAAACAAAGCGAATTCATAGTACCGCGGCGAAGATCTAAACTCCGAAATTCTGTCTTCAACGTGTGTGGACGTGTTTTCTTATCGCTCCGTATTTTGTGTAACAAAAACCACAATCCGGTATTCTTTTTAAAGCCCTGTATGCAGCTCTCAAGAAAAGCAAAAACTCCATATAAAATGACGTACAAGAAATGGCTAAGAAATTTTCTTGAGTCAAATTTCCTTAAGGCAGTACGCAGTTCTTAAGAAATTTACTACGCTTTCTACTACGGTTTTCTAAAGTTTTTTGTGAAAAAAGAGCACAAGGCAACCCAGGCTTGCAACAGAAATATATGCCCGTTCCATTATTTCTTGAGGAAAGAGTGAGGCAACAGGCTGTGAGGTATCAAAAATGTCAAAATTCCTTGGACACACACGCGAAATAATGGCAATTTTTTCTTGACCGTTTTCTTGAGAGCTGCATACTAAGCCTAATGTGGAAGAGTGTAAATTTACTGGAAAAAATATCAAAAAAGGTAAGGCAAAGATTGCTCTCATCGTCGCCATGGACTGCAAAAAGTACAAATCGCAAATCCGCGGCGAGTCGGGAATAAGGTGTGCGGGTGTATGCAGCAAAATGCATCACTCACAATCAAAATGTTCGGGAATAGACCAATATACTTTGGGGAAGTTGGGTGAATTTCCTAATCTTCGCTACATATGCGATGAGTGCGTCATGTACATTAATAACGTTGATTTTGGTATTAAGGAAATCCAAAATGTAGTCGAGAAAAACGGCTGTGCAAAATGCACAAGGAGTGTGGGGCTCAACCCACATGGGCACAGCAAGTATCTGGCACAGCTCACACCGCGAATGGATCTCCTGCAAATACATCAAAAAAATCTGCCCAAAATCTCCAATACATACCTGTCAATAAGCCAGCGGAAGCGCCAGTAAACACTTCAAACGGCGCTCCCGCCATACATCAAAATATTGCAAATAGCAACATCTCAGAAAAAAGCTTGCCTCCTACCACAACAACCAAAACAACACCAACGATCTCTGCTACTTCTGCTTCACCTACCAACTCTAACATAGATATGCTTATTATTATTGCTGACGCTCCGGGATCTGCAAGTACGGTAAACAAGTGGTTGACCGTGCAAAACAAAAAGTCAAAGAAAACGAGAACTTCGAGCTTTGTTGTTGGCCGAAATAGCAATAGCTAATTAGATACAGTTGTGAGCAAAAAATGGGTACACCTCTCCTAATTTAAATCAACTGTCAATACGGAGGATATAATTGCTTGTGTTAGCAAATACGCGAAGATAAGCAGCCAGCATTTAGTCTGCTACAAACTTATAAAAAAAGATGCAAATCCAGAAGACTTGAAGAGTCAATTGTAAATTTGGGGTATCCCCCAGTTTTTATACAAAGGTTTTGGACCCCTTGCTATGGCCGATGGATGTTAAAATTCGGCAGTTCGGTTTTTTAGATAATCAAGGGGGGAAAGACTTGAAGAATTGAGTCGCTCAAAGCTTCAACTCATATTCTATTTATTATCAAAATATAAGCGGTATGCGAACCAAAGTCAATGATTTTAGATTGGCAACCTCATTACATGATTACGATTTCATTGCAACAACCGAAACTTGGTTACATAGAGACATTGCAAGTGCAGAATACTTCGATAATTACTACTCGGTATACCGTAAAGATAGATGTCCCATAGCTAGTGGTTGTCGTGGGGGTGTGGTTCTCTTAGCGGTTTGGTCAAATATGCAAAGCAAACTTGTAACATTGCCTTTGGCTGATAATATAATTGAGCAGATATGTGTGGAAGTCACTTTTAAAAGTAATAAAACTGTTCTTTTTCCTATCGTATATACCACCTAATTCGAGCTCCTTAATTTACGAACGTCACATAAATAACATTGATTACATAACAAGCGGCATCACCGGTAATAGCCAGGTCATTGTCATAGGGAATTCCAATCTACCTGGCATCGTCTGGTCTACTGCGGACCACAAACTGACGTCTTTCAATATTAAACCGACACTGAATCATCAGTCATTGGCTTTTTCACATCCAACAATTTTCAACAAATAAATAGCTTTTATAATGATAATGATAAAATAATGGATCTTTTATTTACTACTACTGATCTTAGATCTAACTGTGAATTGAACCTGGCACCGATTTCTCCAAACAGCATCCATCACAAAGCTTTAACAATTACATTTGAATTTTACAGTTTTGATAAACTACGTGCCTACTCTTCACCCTCTTTTTACTTCAAAAAAGCTAATTTTGATGCAATAAACTCGGAACTTAGCTCAATTAATTGGAACTACATTGTACCAATTAGGAATCCGGACTCTATCTATAAAATAATTCACGAAAAGTTTTCCCATATAGTTTCTTCTTTCGTTCCTCTGAAACAAGTGGCTCGAAACCACCATGGTTTAATGCTAGGCTATACAGCCTAAGGAATAAGAAAAATAAAGCTTTTAAAAATTTCCGAAGGACCCACTTGTTGAGAGATAGGAAAAAATATGAATATCTTCGTAAAAAGTTTGACAATCTGCATAAGTCACTTTACAAAAAGTTTATTTATAAAAGTGAATGTAATTTAAAATCTAACCCGTCAGCATTTTGGCATTTTATAAATTCGAAAAGAAACACCAACAGTTTTCCGACAAAGATGGTGTATGATGAAGTTNCTTTTTGCATTTTATAAATTCGAAAAGAAACACCAACAGTTTTCCGACAAAGATGGTGTATGATGAAGTTTCCTCTTACTCAACTCAAGAGTCGTGCGGTCTTTTTGCGTAATTTTTTCAAAAAGTCTATGATGACTACCCGCTTCAACATACATTGCAGATATAATCAGCTCTCTTTCCATCACTGAGGACGATTTGCAATCTGCCATATCAATCCTGAAACCGAGCTTTAACTAACGAATGTCTTAAAACCGATTGCTATTCTCTTCAATGCTTCTATTGAGTCCGGTAAATTCTTAGATTGCTGGAAATTATGCATCATAGAGCCCCTCTTTAAATCCGGCGATAAAAACAGTGTATTAAACTATCGGGCAATTGTTAAACAAGACGTATACGCTAAGATCTTCGATCATATTATAAATAAGAAATTATATGAGCACGTAAAATGTTTACTCTATGACAGTCGACATGGGTTCCTCCCAGGGAAATCGACCGTAACCAATTTAGCAATAATCACCAAAAGCATAATTTCGGCCCAGCTTGATGTCATATACACACATCCTCCTATCTAAGCTCAAAAGATTTGGGATTAGTGGAATACTACTAGAGTTCTTTAAAAACCTCCTATTTAATAGGAAATTGGTAGTAAAAATCGGCTCTACAAGATCCAACGTTGTCACTAATGCGACTTCGGGTATTCCGCATGGGACCCATGTTCCCCTTTCTTTTCTTGCTTTTTATAAATGATTTACCAGCGCGAATTACTTGGTCAAGGAGTCTAGGTTTTGCAGATGATGTAAAAATCTTTAACTTTATTAAAGACTCCTCGGATTATCAAAATCTACAACAGGACTTGGACGAATTAAAAGATTGGTGTAGCATAAATAATCTAAGTCTCAACATTGAAAAATTTTGCGTTGTGTCTTACACCCGAAGTCCCAACGCAAAAACTGTTAAATTATTCGTTAGGCGGAGCTACCTTACGGCCGAAAAATGAGATCAAAGACCTAGGTGTAATCTTCGACCGCAAGTTAACATTCTCCTCACATGTGGATTACGTAGTTAACAAAGCCTATTTTATGTTAGGTTTTATTAAAAGAAACTTCAAAGATCCTCTTACTCTTAAATGTCTTTATGTGGCTTTGGTCAGGAGCATCCTTGAATATGGAGTCATCATCTGGAATCCTTATTATGATTCCCACTCGCGACGTATAGAAATGATCCAGAAAAATTCACGCGATTTGCGCTAAATCGAATTAATTGGGCTCGTGGTCCATGTAATGGTACCCATCCTCGTGCCTCAACTGCCGTCCTTACTGGCGCCACTAATAGTGCCCCTACTGGTTCCTTTGGTGTCCCTATCAACGCCTCCAACACCCTTACTGGTGCTCTTAATGGCGTTCCTACTAGCGTAACCAATGGTACCCGTACTGGTATCCCACCTTACGAATCAAGACGGAAACTACTTGGCTTACAAGCACTGGTGGACAGGAGGTCATATTTATCCATTATGTTTGCTTACAACACTTTATCCGGAAGTGTTCGCTGCCAAGAAATCCGCAATCTCTTTATTGCGAACGAGCCATCTTTACAACTTCGGAGCTGCAAGCTTTTTGTAGAAGCTACATACAAGACCTTGTATGCATATAACGAGCCAATAGCTAGAATTATTCGCTGGAATATATAATTTCAAATTGGATCTGTTCAAAATTTTCAATTAATGTATCGTCACACACAAAATGGAAACTAAATTAAGCTAAGTCTTACAGCCGCACTCAGAGTCGTTTAATGATTACTTAAGGTTTCCTTCAGTAACGATTTGAAAAATTTCCTCTCAGAGTCAGTTAATGATTCGTTAACGGCATTTAATGAACAATAAAGTTAAGTAAACAAAAACCTTTACTTAACTTTTTATTTATTTATTTAATCAAATGGAATAAATCCTTACTGACTATAAAACAAGAGAGCTTATATACTACCTAAAATAATTAAGTAGGACAAAACGAACTGTTCCAAATGAGAGAGACGGGTCATATTCAGAGAGCTCATTTAGCTCAGAAAGGGTTCTGAACAAAGGCGAGAATTTTACATAGTTAGA